GGGGGGGGGGGGGAGGGAACGGGGCCGAGGGAGGGAGACTGTGGTTACAACGATTTGTGTACAGGGAGAGGGTTCTGCAAAGTTGGGTGACCAGTCAAAGGGGGCTGTCTGGCGCTGATTGAGGCAGAGCACGCTGCGAAGCATGTGGGTGCCATGAAAACGCGCGCAAAGACACCACAATGCACCTTGACACCACGACGCGGCCAACACGGGGCGCAAGACCTCGTACCCTCCCGCCCCTTGACGCCACATGCACAGAGGCAGGCTGCGCCCACCTGAGCCGTCGCCGGCGGGGTGCGTGTCAGCGCTCCCTTCTGGCGGCGACGCGTGGCGCGATGTGGCGGCAGCAGCAGCAGCAGCAGCAGCAGCAGCAGCAGCAGCAGCGCACTTTGCTTGCCCCGTCGCAGCGCAGGCTGCGGATCCGAAGGGGTTGCCGCTGGTGATGCTGGCCGCCAGGTCAGAGGCAGTGACAGCGCCGCCCTGGTCAGTCTGCAGGAGTGGCTGCGTCGCTGCGGCACGCTTGACCGCGTCGGCGCACTGCGCGTGCATCCCGGCCGCCACTGCAGCGCCCACCCAAGCGACGGCCGTGCCGCCCGTGCCCGTCCCGTCCATATGCAGGGGTGCCGGCCGAAGTCGTCGGTCAAGGTTGTTGCTACAATTCCTTCCTAGCCGTCAGGGCCGTTGTCCCCTGCTCGGGGGCGGGTTTGGGCCGGGACGCAGCGCGGGACCGCCGCGCAGTGAGTCCGGTGAGAGCACTTCCGAGCGGCTGCGCGCGCGCGCGGCAGTCGCGCCAAGATGCTGCGTGCAGGATTCTGGCCAACCATGTCAGGATCCAATCCCAACAGACCGCGGGGCGGGGGTGGGCTCCACCTGCCCGCCAACCCACTTCGTCGGTGGGCGCGAAAGCCAGGGCCGATCGCGCTCTCGACCCCTCAAGCACGAACGGTTAAGCAATAATATTTGCATTATCTGCGCCGCGCGCGCGCTGCGGTCCTTCCCTGTCCAGCCACGCACGCAACCAGGAAACATCACCCCCGCGACGATGGCCGCAAGCCACGCCCTGAGAGTCAGGCTTGTGGGTTCACCGCTCCACATATTCACGGCCAGCGTGCGGCCCTCGTTTGCGCCCCGAACTGTGCCCCGCTCCCGGAGAGCCAACAAGTGTAGTTGGCGCGCCGATGCCCCTGAACCGCCCTCACCTCGTGGTCTGCGACATTTCAGATGTTATGTATAACTTCCAGGAGCGACTCAGCAGTCTGGGGCGGCCGTATAGCGCTCCTGGGCGACCCGCGTGTTGATCTTCGGGTTCGTTACACAGAGGGAAGCGCGGCGTAAATTCGAATCGATAGCGCACGAGTCTGGATGCGGGGATGGGCCACACGCGAACTTTGACCCAGTTGAGCTCTTCGGTGTCACTCACCTACCAGACTGGTGCCAAGAAGTGGGATTCCTGCCTCGTGCCCACAATAACGGACGTGGAAATGTTTCACACTCTACAATTTTTGCGTGCAGGCGTGGTGAGACGAGGACCAAACTTGCGGCTGATTGGCCAGCTCAGGTGCCTTGACAG